TGCGCACACCTTTCAAGGAGCTCTTTGTTCGAGAGGCGCTTGTAGATTGGCAGCAGTGCCACTCGCACGTGAGGGGGCAGTTTATGTTTGTGAGGCGGCAGCGGCTCTCCCTTGGCCAATGCCTGATTGTGCGGGCACCAGGAGTCAGTCCCACTTGGGCACAGGTCGTGGTGTGGATCCTGGTCTGTGGATGTTACATGGTAATAAGTGGCCATGATGGCCCTCTCCATGCCAGGAACATCGTTGGGGTGGCTCTTAATGGCCCAGCCATAATAATTCGTTAACTTCTTTATCAGGCCCTGCGTCAGCCGGCCTTTGCCACCCATGCTCAGTCCTCGGCCTTTGGATTTGTGCTCATCAAGAAGGTTGCGCAAGGAAGTGCCCATTCTTTTTTTCACATGGTTCACACACTCCTGTTTCTTAATCACCATGTAGCCATACACCTTGTCTTGCGTGAGGGCAAGGTACGTACGGCTGTCACCGTCGCAGAGCACATTGATGTATCGAAGCTTGTACTTGGTAAACGATCTTTCAAACATGATCCTAGCTGCTTCTACTTCCATTTGGCCTGCATTAGCATCAGTGTTCTTTTGGCACTGTGGCTTGTGTTTCTCAAGCCACTCCTCATAGTTGTCGTCACCAGGCTTGGGGCCAACAGCACAGCCTTGGCAGTAGTTGGACAGGACACAGTGGTCCAAGACCAACCAAGCCTGTGTACAGCTCGATTACACAGCCCACGCCAATATGACTTCTGTGCCCCCTCGTCATCCACGTGCCGTCGTAAATGACGTCAATGTTGCCTGGCACTCCTCCTAGGTCCTTGTAAATGTCATGCACCTTCTGTGCTCTTTCTGGTTCAATGCGGGTGGCAGCTGATGTGGTGGCAGGGTGGCTGTACTTCCTTTGCAGTCTCTGGTAGGACTTGTGGTGCAGTGCTCGATGCGAAATGTCCATCGCAGAAAAAATGTCATTTATGGCAGATTGTTTTCTGCCAACTGACTGCACAGCCCTCAAAGCACGCACGTTTACCTCAAAGGGGTTCGTTTTTTGTTGCCCGGAGCACCTCGGGGACGACCACGCACTGTTCACTATGCCACAATTGTCACAAAAAAGTTCCATCCTCGCCGCGAGTCCAAGGCAGTGCGTAGTCTCGAGGCGTATCGACCCTTCGTCGCACTTGTTGCACTTTACTGACGAAAGCAGACCGTTCAGCATCTTCTTATTTACAATGAAGAATGTGGAGTCCTTACCGCCGTCATTTTCGTCGCAGCCTTCGCTCAGAAGCTCGAGCTTCCGCTTTGAAGCGGACTTCGATGCTACGGCATCCAAAACATCCCGCCTTGTCTGCGCCCGCTGCGCGATTTCTTCACTGCTCGGAATCTGGGCCGAAACTCGCGATAGAATGTTCGACGCGCGCACGCCCGGAGTTGCAACGGCTGCCGACGCGGTGCCACCGCAATCGGGTTCGCGAGAGCGTCCATCACGGTCGACGGCATCCGGCGGTCTGACATACGACGATGTGGCACCTTCCACACTCTCGGCCTCACAACAATCAGCGAAGGGTCTGAGTAGAGGCTCCGTGACGCTTGAAGAGCATGCTCCGTCCGGAACTGCGACTGGGACGGCAGCCGCAGTCGTCTGCCCTTTGTTCCAAGCTTTCCGACGCTTGCCGTACTTGTGGACGCTCCGGAACTTTTTTTGCGACAACATAGCACCGCAGTATGAGCAAGCACTCAGAAGAGACCACCGATGTAAACAAAGCTTGGTAAAAAAAGCACGCGAACTATCACAAAAACAGCAAACTGGCAAAAAACGAAGCGCACGCCGGATGATTCTCGGCACGGCGGCCGCAGATGCGCTCGCGCTTCCAAGGTTGCCAAGGTGCGCGGCGCAGCTTTGACCAGTAAGAGGTCGCGCCTGCTACCACGTGACCCGCGCAGCCAATTGCCGTTCTTCGTTTTCGTTTTTTTACTTGCTCCTCGCGCTTTTATTTTCACTCGGCGAAATACGAGACCGCGACCATCGGGAAGCCGGCTTTCTCCTCTTTCCAAAGCTACCAAAATGGCGGCCCACAGTCAACAACTTGGCGCGTTTGTGCGGCGTGAACAACACCGTTTCAGGGGCTTTTTTTTCGCACTTTTCGGCGACTAGCCTCGGCAAAAACACTATTTGCGGGATTTGTAGCGCACGTTTCGCTGTAATATTTCAGAACAAGGAAGTTGAAGGTCTGAAGATTACGAAAAAAAATAAATCAGAAAATCGCATATTTTGACCAAAATCGGCACTTTACTTGCCGCGCCCCCCCTTAAGCTCCCTGCCGACACGAAGGTTCTGCAGCAGCCTTTTTGCCAGGTGCTTCTGATAGCTGGTTTTCATAGTGCGTATAACGCCTCGATTCAGTGGTTGCAGTACAGACGTAGTTTTCGGGGGCAAAAAACGCAGCTCGATGTTGCTGAAGGTCGTACTGCAGTGGTGCGATGAACAATTGTCCACGAGCAGGCACACCTTGTGATTTTCGCCTACCAAATCATCATTCCACGACGATAGCCATCTGCTGAAAAACTCCCCGGTTATCCACGCTTTTGAGTTTGCTCGGTAGGTAACTGGAAGTGACAGCGCATTTCGAAAACACCGCGGTGCCGTGCTTTTCCCGATAACCAGAGGTTGAAGCTTTTTCGATCCGTCTAAATTAGCTGCCAACAGCACGGACACACGAGCTTTGTTTGCCTTGCCGCCGCTTGTCTTGTCGCCATCACACGCAATGTCTTGTTTGGCAACATTTGCCAAAATAGAGCGGTTTCATCCGCATTGAAGATATCTTGGGCTCTATATCTTGCTGCGACATCTCGCCAGTTATCCTCGAGCCATTTTTCTACGCTGTCCAGGTCCGCCGCTCTGCTTTCACCTGCAACAGCTTTGTCAACGATGCAACGATGTCGTGCCGTTCTTTGAACCGCTGAAGCCAGCCTGAACCGCCTTGGAAATCATTCCTGCCAAGCAGAAAAGCAAGGTCCTTGGCTTTCTGCTCGATCACAGGGCCGGACACCGGGATGTTTCGCGACCAAACGTCCACAAACCACTTGTAAACGGCCGCTTCAACATCTTCGTACACAGCAGCGTGCACACGTCGGGCGCCACGAGCACCTGGCCTTTTGTCCGACTTGGCCCTGATGTCTGCCTTATTCTTCAGGATAGTACTCAAGGTGCTCCTTGGAATTTTGTACGCGGCGGCGACGTCGGACTTCCGCGCTCAACCCAATTGATGATTTCGAGTTTTGCGGCGAACGGCAAATTTTGCCTCTTTGCGCAAGCCATGAAGACAGCGCGCCAATACAGTTCACAGAGCACCAATAGGCAACACCACAGACCACGCTGAATTGGCAGCAGCAGGCACACAAGCATAAAGAAAGAAAAATTGGCACTCACTTCTACCGCCTCCGCGCCTCCGAGAAAGCACAACGGCCTCTAATTGGCTGTAAGCGCTGCGAGCGGGCCAGGATCATTTCTTGGAGGGGGGTGTTCGCCCGCGCACAACTGGGTCTAACCAACTTTTTCTAGGGTGGCGCCGGCAGTTTTCCCCGCCACCGCGAGGGGAAAGCCAACTTGCTAGGGCACTTTTGAGGCACATGGAGTTTGATATATCAGTTATCGTTGCTATTTTCGTTCAATAAAACAGTAACTTTTGCTATATATTCTCAATGTAAACTTACCCTGCTGAGGAATTGTTCGATATACGGGATAATTTGATATAAACGGGTTCGATATAGTCGGGCTCGACTGTATGCGTTTACATAGGTGCTTTCACCGTTTGTCACTTCTTCACTGCAATGAAACCACCTTTACAGGAGGTTACATGCAAACTAATGTAATCCTACTTGTTCATGTCGAATACTGTGAAGTTATAAACAATTTAAATTTGACTTAATGCAAATCCAAATACAGTAATATTCAATCGAATATTGGGAGCATTAGAATATTTGCACAAGCCTACCAGCAACCTTTTATTAAAGGTCGCCTCAACGTTTTCAAATGTGGATATGTGTGCCTTTCAGGTGCCCGACACAGCTGGTCTTGAGCCCAGCTTGGCTCCAATGTTGGCCTTTGGAGCATAATCAGAATACTTTTATCCACATTCAACTCTCTTGATTATTGCCAGCTTTGTAAAAAACAGCAGGCTTTTCTCCTTCAGAGCAGCCATCGTCACAGAGAAGCGGTGACCTGGCCCAACTGACTGATGAGCGTGGAGACGAGGAGTCATATCACCATGTGATAGCAATCGTTAGTTTCTGATTGCCCTGTGCACTCCCTCCTTATTTCACTGTTGACGCTCTTGAATGCATGCAGGAAAGACCCCAAATGTGAGAAAGAGCCAACTTAATTTGAAGGAAAGCAAACTTTCCTGTGCTATTTTGCACTGTCTGGCTGTTTCTGTTCGATGTAGCCGTAGATTCTTTGATGCATTAACATTAAAGGATTGTTATTTTTGTACATATAAGGGATAATTTGATTAGGTATAGTCGGACCTAACTGTGCATTGGGTCTAAGTTGAGCAACTGCAGCTGGTAGGGATAAGTCGGCCTGGAGCCGTTGAACATCTCATAGATACTTCATGTAGGTTTGGAATTTTATACCCTATCTGTCAATGAATTAGCACTAAGAACCTGATATGAACACATTGCATGTAGTTGTGACTTTGAATCTTTGAAAGGAAGTGTGAGTGGTATATTGGCTCCGGCAAAGTGACCCATCTGCTTATGATGACATAAAAGGTGGCGATAGAATGAATGCAAAAGGACGAGATGAAAACAGGGCTGTGTGTGTCCTGTCTTCTTCTGGTCTGTTTGTATTTGTTTTAGTGCTGCCTTTTGCGCTATTACAAGCCCAAACCAAGTTGCCCGTTTATCTGTCATATATCTGCATTCTTTCGAATTTCTCTACTTTAAAAGTTGCTATGCTGCAACATGTGCTAATGGTGGCTGCTCCTCTCTGCTCTTCTCCAGGTGCGATTTGTGCAGTTCTGTGCACCCCGAGGTGATTTGCTGGTGACGGGCATCACCAACGTAGATCCGGGTGCCCCCGGGACCAGTGGTCCCCCTCTTTTGGACCCCGTGCTGGGGACGCAAGTGCGGGGGCTGCATGTGCCCGCTGCGGCGGTAGACACTGGGGCGAGTCAGGGGCGCAGCATCAGCGCTCGGCTTGTGTCCTTGTACGAACGCTTCGGAGTGTTGCATCAGGTGAGACGGACACTGGTTGCTCTGTGGTGCCAGCACCAACTTAAATGAAGCTTGATAGGAAGGGCGAGTTTTCTCCGTTCTTCAGTATAGACATGCAATGACTAATTAAATTTAACTGCGGTATTCTCGAATGCGCTGCGACTTGACTTCATCTTTCGCTCAATTTAGTCGAGCATAGTGCTGCTGCTCATATGAAAGTGATGCCGCGTTTCTTGTGTATTTGCTGCCGACTATTGCTTATTCATATCAACCACTTCTGCCAAGGGGTAGTGCTACCGTAGACTTTTTCGAGTTGTGGAGGAGTGTTGTGCCGAGGTGGAGTGTTGTGCAGAGGTACGCTGTCGAGTATAGGGGCAAGTATTTCTGGCGTGCTGGCACTGGTACTGTTTGCTGGCCAAAGCCCTCTGGGAACCAATGCACTATCATGTTTTTGATCCCAAGCTCGACTGTTACCAACGCTGGTCACTACATGCGACGGCTTATGGTTGCTGCGTGTGCCAGAGTCATCAGCACTAGGATTTCTTAAAACAAAAAAAACATGCAAATTGATAGGACGGTCAAAAAATTAAAAAAATAAACACACACACACAAGCTTCCTTCGCGCAGTGTACCTCAGTGCCGTACATTTGATTCCTCACAGTGCATGCCGAGGTAGCACCACAATTCAATGGAAGAGGTGGACTTTGATGTTTTTCAAGCTACCACCAGATGGGTGTTGACTTGCTATTGGTGGACCCCTGTTGAAATGTCGATTGCAAACTGCCCCCAGTGTAACCGGTACGCCTTCGTTTTGTGTGTGCACTCTTGGTTCAGCGGTCGGGACACCAGCAGCTGGTGTCGCCTTTACTGGAGCCCGAGGAGGCGCTACGGCAGGCACGCAGCTATGCTCACGAAGTCACCAGCTACTCTGACTACCTTCGTCGCGTGAACCGGTTCAGACGACAGGAGGTGCCGCAGGCGAGTTACAGAGTGGGCCAAGCCAGAAGGCTTTGGGTCTTTTTTGTTTTTGCAATGGTAATTTCACTAATTTTTGAAACTCATTCAGGCTGCCATGCTGAATCCTGGATGCGATCGGCATGTGGGGCTCAAGTGCCTTAAGTCGGGGGATTCTGGAGCTGCAGCCTTGGGCAACGCAGCTGGCTTTGATTTCGGAGTGCACAAGGCCCCTAATTTTTCGCTTTATACCAATGTCCTTTTAGCATGAGGAAAATAGGGAGCTGGGGGGTGGTAGGGGGGATTTTTGTTTATTTTATTTACAAATACAGGCTCCAAGGACGAGTATTATATGAGAGGGACTATACAACAGTTTTTTTTATCAAGAAACATGGAAGAAACATTAGTAATTGAAAGCCTAGTCTAGAATTGCGAAGTGTGAGAGATTACATGCATTAGTTGTATGAAATCTAGATGTGTTATACATAACTGAACGGGTTGACAAGTAAACGTGCAATGAATAAATGCCAATAAATATGGTATGTTTAGAAAATACAGTCGTAAATAGTTAGTATTTTATTCCTAAGTGCCACGTGATCACGAATGCACACATCATCAGGAAGGTCATTCTGTTGAGCAATGGCATGCGTAGGGTGGATGGGTTGAAAGTAGGCTTGTGGGAATATTCGAATTCTTCAGATATACGAATGAATAGTTGAGTATTGAAATTCACTTCGCTTCGAATTTAAATTATCGTAAATTTTGAAGTATTTGCAGTGAACAAATAAGTGTATATTAATCTGCACGTAACTGCCTGTAAAAGTGGTTTCGCTTCAATATAGGGGTGCTAAGCCGTGAAAGCACCTATACAGAAAAAATTTGTTTTGTCGCGAAGCCTTTCTTCAAATTTAAAGGGGCCCTGCAAAAATTACTGAGTATGGTCAGAAAACGCTGCCGATTGGTAGTTGAGGCTACCGAGAACACGCGAGGCAAATATTATAGCGCAGCACGTGGCCTTAATAAGTTTTCAAAGCTGAACATTGCTTTCTTCTCTCGTCGAATGACACTACAAGCTCGAAAATCACTTGTCGCAGCCAAGAAGGAATATACGGCTCTGGTCACAGCCATTGGCTGATTTGAGCATGGCGTACTTGTCGTTACCGGGTCTGCCACGGGAGGCCGCCGCTTGTCCACGAGTGCATGCACGATCGCACTGAAAAGCCGTGTATTCGAAAGGGGAAAAAAAAAGGAGGTTCTCAAGGTCACGAGATGCGTGTGACCAATTTTTTTTTCGCCGTTCCATTCTTCTCTGCTTAGCTCCCAGCTATTTCGTCAAGACGAGGAAAAAGAATGCAATTGCAGCGTTTGACAAATTTTTGGAACTCCGCTCGCACTTGACTGATGCTAAAAACTTTGGGGCGGTAAATTTGTGAGGCAACAAGCATGTTTACTGGCTCCATGGCTACTTGAAGAAGTGTTGCAGGGCCCCTTTAAAGGAACATGTTACCCTCAAATCAATTTTTCATTTTATTAAGCTTTATATGACGGCTTATTTGCTCCATGTATAATGAATTTTAAAACATTGAGTATCTTATAACTCACATCCTACCCAAACTACTACTCAAGGTTGTTTCAACTTTCTTTGAATAAAAAAAAATAACCTTTGCATAGAGCCCCTATTTCAATTGAAAATAAATGTTGTGCAGGTTAGTTAGGTCATGATAAATATTCCTCTTTCTTTATATGTCATACATACTATTCCAATTCAATTCGAAATTATTCAGTCAAAATCACTATTCGCTTCGAACCTAAAATTCACTATTCGCACAAGCGTAGTTAAAAGGCTTGGGTGCGGCCGAAAAGACGAGCAAAACTATGCCAATTATGAAGCCTGCGAGATAAGCGATGGAGCTCTGATAGTTGCAAGGTGTTCGTGTGTGTGCTGTAAATGACCTTATGAAATAAGCATGGGGTGTTCATCTACCTACATAATGCTAAGAATGGTAAGGATAACGAAGTCTTTATGTAAGTTACACTAGAATAGTGGTTGTAGTTACGTGCAATGAAACTTGCAGCACGGTTTTGCACAGATTCTAGTAAGCAAATGAAGTAGGCTTCGTGAGGTGAACAGAAGGATGATGCGTATTCTAGTTCAGGGCGAACAAGTATTAGGCATGGTAGCTTACACGTAATGGATGGCACTATATGAAGAACGCGTTTCAGGTATCTGAGTGTGCGTGATGCTGTGGCAGTAATTTTTTCAATGCGTGTTGACCAGGATAGATTCCGAGTGAAGGTAATGCCAAGGCACTTGTAGTGGTTCATTGCAAATACAGTAATAATACCTCGTTAGCTCGAGGTCGTAAAAACAAGGGAAAACTTCTAGATAACCGGAATTTCAGGATAATCAAAGTTGTGCAGATTGCCTGGGAAAATGAGTGCTTTTAAGAAAGTTTACTACTACTCATTGGCTTTTTAGCGGCACTGATCTTTCTTCTCATGCAGATCTAAGAGAGAAGAAAATAACATACAAGAGACTTTAACTGGCTGGGTCTTGCTGCACTGGCATTTCATTTAGCGGAGAAAAATGGCATAATGCTTGTCTGCTTTGCGGTCGTACGCGGGGCTGGGAAGGCGTCCTCCAGCTGCTTGATGCATTGCATTAGTTGATGTTCTTTGCTGCTGCACTCAACCTTATTCTAAAGCAAGCACTGCAGATTTCTCGTCTCAGAAGATGTCGGCACCTCTGGAGGTGGTTTGTCATCACTGCAATTTCCTACGTTAGTGGCCATTTGAACAATTTCAGCGTCCTCCATTTCTCCGGTCACTGCCACATCCTGCTCACACAGCACATACTCAAAAAAGTCACGTCATTTTTGGCGGGACTGTTACTCGTTAGCTCGATGACCTCTTGACAAAATTTTTCACAGCCTGTGCAGTCATCTGCAGTCACTGCTTCCGGCAAGCTTGGTGGCACGTGAAAAACCCTGCGTGTGCAAAAGCAGTTTGCGATTCCACTGCGGAAACTTGCTGCCAAGTGCTGCTGAGAAGGTGTACTGCTTCCACCAGACCAATTTTGTAGCCTATGTCGTTGTCATGAGACAGTAAAATTCTGTGGAGATCGCTCTTTTGGTATAAGGTTCTTTCGGCTCTTCTGGTCGACACCATGCTTGCCGCACTCAGGCTAAGTTGCCGCTTTTCACAGCCAGTGAAAAATCCGTACCGCGTGGTTTCCGCAGATTGGGGGAGGGGAGCTCAAATTCCATGGCTCTCCCTTTCCCAGTGAGCCTGGATCTCAAGGGGAAGAAGGCGAGGCGGAGATAGTCGGTGTGTTAAGGCTCACCAGCACTTTATTTTCCTTTGGTAGCACTACTGCTGAATCTTTTATGTGTGAAAAACTTGACGACACTAGCACCTCCAATTTCTTTTGGAGCACATGCCATATTTACTTGCATAACGACTATAAAAATACTTCATTTAGCCTTAATGCCAGAAGTGGGGCATCTTATTAAATTTACGTTACGTCAACCATATGCCTCAACTAATGTCATCTGTGCAGGCAATGTGGTGGGACCAGGCAGAGACTGTTGAACTTAAAAGTGGTCCTTGTTTTGCAGGGATTTCCAAGTTTGTTTGTGCTGGATGGGCACTGCGGTGCTGTGCAAAAACTACGCTGTGAGGCCAAAGCGAAAAAAATTGGTGCGACACCGGTTTTCCCGGCATGCGATAGCATATCGCCTTTATGCTTCACAGCTTTGGCTACACCGGCTGCACTAGCTCTCAAACCACGTGATGTGAAGAACCAGCCGCCAATTGAACATGTTGACCAAGGCATCCGCGGTGGCTCACATCGGGGCAATTGTGAACTCCCCGTGCAGCACGTCAAAGCTTACGGCCTTGACGAGGACACGTTAATATTGAGAGCCTGGTTTGGATTACGATTCCTAAGAACACTGGAACTAGGAGGTGCAGAAGCAGCAAGTTGGCATGCCCTAGCATGCTGCCAGCTGAATCACTGCTGGCATATCTCCTGAAACAACGTTTCTAAAGGTGTAAACTGTTTCTTTTCAGTTTGCATGCACAACTTGAACTCGGTACGAATTTGATTGCACAGAAAACGGGGAAAAACGGAATGAACTTTTAAGTGGCAGTGGCTATGGTGGCATATTCGAAAAGCAGAATGAATGGAAACGTCTTCGACCGGTGCAGACGTGGCTTTCCGGCCACTCTGGTGTTTTCGCTTGAATTTTGCAGTGTGAATTCTCCAGGACAATTTTTTTTTTCGTGTTGACTTGGGGCGCGGTTTTCTGGCTGCTTAAGCGGCGAAGCGAGTGAATTTCCAGGACTTTAGCCGCTTTTGCTCCCTTAGATGCAAACTGTGAACGCGCCTTTAAGCACCAGCAGCATGAATTGGAAAATCATGGCAATTTATTGTGAGACAGTAAAGGCAGGAAAGTTCAAAAGAATTTCATGGACTTTTTTCGGCAACAACCAGTTAACCCCAGTAAAGTTCTATATTTATGTGCACTGACGGTTTTCATCTTCATGATCAGCTATAACTTGTTTTTGGTTCATACGAATACGAGATGATACGAATATTGCGTGCCTCCTTCAAATTCGTATCCTCGAGATTCTACTGTAGTATGTGTAGCTCACTACAGAGTGTCATTTCTGCTGAATTTCCAGCTTGACATCTACTTTTGGCAAGCTGACCAGCCCCAGGTGTTGTGGAAAAGGCATTGCAGTCATTGTCTAAAATGCCCGATGCTTAACGCCGGCATGCAGGAATGGAGAAAACTCGCTAGCTGTGCCATGTTGGGTGTCTTACTGTACACTGCCTAACTGTCGCTGAAATGCTAGCGTACATTGAAGAAATGCTACAACCTCAATCCAAGAGCCTCATTATTAAGCACCGAGTGCTTCTGTTTCTATATAGCACTTAATGATTTTTTCTGAAAATTAACTCTTCAAGAGGGCGCTCATGCTTCAACCAACTTATGTTTCATTCTGCTTTTTCCGCCTTTTAGCAACGCCAGTTTGAAATGTGCCGAGAAGCGATAACAGTAAATCTCGAATGCAGGGTAGCAGGCGCAGAGCTGAACGCGGCTCGTCAGCCGATGAAGAAGCCGGCCCAAGCGACAGACTGTCTTCGGCTTCAGTGGGAGCGGGTCCCAACAGCCACGATTTCTGGGCCACATTTTACCGGCTACGATCAGTCTGCTCGCGACTGGAACGCCGCATGCGACTGCACGCATCCCCTATGTGGGCACCGCCCCATACTCCAACGGCTACAAGGAGTGACTCTTTGCGAACAGCAAGTCTGGGAGCCACGACTCCGACTAATGCAGCGGCTGCGAGCCGTCGTACAGCCAGAATGTCGGCTCCTGGTCCTTCAAGGTGAACAGACAGGCACCTTGAGCAGCATGTTATTCATACAACCCGTAGTGTTTCTAATGATGCAGTCAGATTTATGTTTAAAGACCATGAATGTAAATAAATATACAGTCGAACAAGGTTATATCGAACCCACATATATCGAATTTTTGGGTGTATCGAACTCGCAAGTTTTCCCCTTGAAATTCTTTTGTAGAAGTATAGAAATTCGCACATTTATATCGAACGGTGCGGTATTTTTACCACCTTTCGAATATATCGGAAGGCCGTGCGAGCTGGAAAGTGCGCTTCAGCACTTGCTTCCCCCCCCCCCCCCCCCCCCGCGCGCGATTTTCGCGGCAGGGTGGCTCTGTGCGCGAGTTGGATGGCGCGCTTTTGCCACTCGAGCCCCGCCGGGGGCAACATGGGCATTTCAAATGTTTCTTTGCCTATGCTCTCACATCTGACTTATTTTGTTACCCTGTAATGCTTTAGTGGCTTTATATAATTGTGAAATTGCTCTAACCTGTTTATCGTTGTGCGAAACGGGTTTGAAGACTCCCACTGGAAAATGCGCATCTACAATACAGGAAGCAGCCTGGCATTAATGGCATAAAAAGTTAAGTAAGGTGACGTGCTGCACGCAACTAGCAAGGAACAGCCGGCTCTCTGCTGTAGCACTGTTCACAATGAAACTGTCAGTTTTCGCTTAGAAGCGGATTATGATACAAATGCACACACATGTATTGCAGTAAGCAGATACGTCTACCTGTCCGTTCTTTCGCTACATAAGTCGCAGTATGTTCCAGACCCTGTGATAGTTTCGAAATGCTCTTCAGCATTGCCACTATATGCTACTAAATGGTCGTGCAAGAGAAGCCAGAATTTTTTCTGTGCACTGCCATAAAGGAAGAAAAGGCCTTGTAGTGGGCGCATTTGGCAACATTTGCTCTGGTGTATACACACATACGGAAAGGCCAATTCGTACTTGGGGGTGAATGCGCACTACTGTTTAGTGCATAGTTATGCTTCATTTTCGGCAGGTATGTCTTACGGAGGGGAACTTCATTACATAGCAAGTTCGATTGTAGGAAGGTTTCACCACATTGTATACAAAGTGTGCATTGTGTGCCTTTGTGTAGCATCAGTGAGCATGCCACCTATAGATCTTTCTGTCATGAGCACAGCCCATCTTTTTTCTCGGAAGCGATACTGATTACTGGCTTGGTGGCTTCACGCAGCTCCTTCATGGCTGGTCTTTCATCGACAGCCTCGTCTTCATCGAATCGTGAGGCGGCCTCATCAGAGACGCACCCAGACATGCCGCTGTCCCTGGCGTCACTTCTCGCGCGCCTTGAGACGTCGCTGCAAAGCCTGAGCAGTGTTGCTTTCACCACGGCTGTCGCTCGTGACCAGATCCATCAGGTCAGTGACAACGCTGCAAGGAATATGCCCCCATTGAGCCAGTCACCGCTACTGTAGATTCTCTATGATATGAATATGAATTGAATATGAATTTAGCAATGTTACAAATTTTAAGGTTGTTTTGGATGTACAATGCGCTGTGATTCGGTGTTATACTGTGATTCGGAATTATTTCCCAAGCCAACCGCGATGATATGAACGTGCAGTTGCCCCAAAGGATTGAACACGGCAAAACTCGCCAAAATTTTCCTCTCTTTGCTGCGTAAGTGACCAGAAAAACGCCGAGGGGCCGACATAAAAACAAAAACAAAAAACAGTCGCAGATCAATTTTTCCTCCTTGTGGTAGCATATCGCCTTTCTGCTTCGTGCCCTACAACCAATACAACAGCACGGCTCGAATCACGTGATCTAAACAACCGGCTGTGAAATCAACATGGCGGCAAAAATGTCGGCAGTGGCTCGCATCAGTGCAGCTGAATATGTTGATGAGTTTGAGTCTGGTTCAGAAAAAGTTTAATGACTCTGAGTCCCATTAAGTCCGCAGAGCAAAATATATTTCTTGACCTAGCTCCAGTTTTGTTTTTGCTAACTTATTATGCAGTGGCTTCCTTTCACTCTTGTACATTGCTTGGACAGGTACGGCTGCGCATCACCGAGATCTCGGAGCGCTTGGCTAATGTGAGTGGCTACAGGGCTCGCCTGACCAGTCTACGAGATCAAATTGTCGAAGGTGAGCACTCTGGTGTGTGCTGTGAAAATCTCTATAAATGGCTAGTAGTGGGACAGAGGAAAAAAAAAAAAAAAAGAAAGGTGGTTTATGCAGTGACTGACCGGTTACACTAATCACTTCACACCACTTGTCTTGTACTGCCAAACTGACTTATAGAAATTCCAGATAAAACGTGTTATTAGTTATAACAACTATATTTATGTGCACTGACGGTTTTCCTATGCCAACCATCGAAACTGCATCCACACATAGTGAACATTTTTTCAAAGCCTCCCACTTTTACAACGAACGCTTCAGATATGGCCGCAGTAAAAATATGGTGCATACCAAGGATGAAAAAAATCTTTAATCAGTAGAGACCAAATTTTAGGCGAAAAACATTTTTTTCCTCGCATTCCTGTCGTGTCACTTTGATATATGAGCATGAATTAGAAGTTAAAAAGGACTTTTGTAGTGTTTTTATGTTGCCTATCAGTGCATATTTTTAACGTTTCTGCATAAATAGCACCTATAAGTGATTATAAATGCCTATTTTCAAGATCGGCACTTGTGCGAACACTACTTAAAATCAAGCTTCACTTTTGAGTGAAGTTTGAGACTAACATGCTTCAAGACTGGCTTAACTGGAGGCTAGGCCTGGCAGAAAGCCACTAGTGTTGCCAAATTACTTAGCATGCAGATAGCAGCATGGTCATGTCAGTTGAAAGATCGTGTCAACGTGGCAGAAATACGCTTTAGTGCATGATTTCTGAAAAAAAAAAAAAAAAGGTGCTGATTTAGTCCACTGTAGCCGATTGTTGTATTGCGGTCCATTACAAGACAACTTTACGCAGACCAAACTTAGGCTGAATAATTTTTCGTTATATCCATAAGTCTGTTGTACGCGGGTATGTTATCACAAGTGTAGACTGTTATAACATAACAGTCTACACTTCCACGAGTGTTGAAGATTGGGCGAGTTGGTTCGTCGTACTTGAACTTGTATAGCGCATTACGGGGAAGAAGAAACGGCCGAGCAGACCGACACAAGAGGACAGCGCGCTAACTTCCAACTGAGTTGGAAGTTAGCGCTCTGTCCTCTTGTGTCGGTCTGCTCGGCCGTTTCTTCTTCCCCGTAATGCGCTATACAAGTTCAAGTCTACACTTGATGCTACACAAGACGCCTCAGCCTGACAGGCTGGGGCGTGCGAAAACTAGAATCACGTTTGCGTATATTTACGTGTTCCAGAAAGCACTAATTGGCAATTGGGGCTAGAAGAAAATGCAGATAGATACAAGGATTACGTTTTTGCTAAAAAATAAATTTATGTTTGGGAACATTCGGGAGATATAAATTCGACGTCGTCCGAGTATCTCAGGTGAACCTGTGAAAGATGCATCTCTGATACTTGAATGTAAACAATGGACAGAAGTCTGCCTGGTTAGGTATGAAACTAGGAGATGATTTAGATTCCATCCAAAAGTTTTGAACAAACCCAACGTATCGAAACCGACTTGGTTCCTTCCTCAGGGGTGACTGAGAAGACTACGTAGCAGCGGCGTCTTCAAAGCACTCGCGTGGCGAATAATGACCCCCGTCTCTCTCTCATTTTGCCGTGGAGCGCAGTCCATGTGTATACACTGGGGGAAGGGTTCCGAGAGAGCGGTTGATGTTATGGGCTGTCCTCTGTATGGGCCACGACTCGAGTAATGACCTTCCCCTCCAGTTCAGCTTGCTTTCAAGGATGACCGTCGCTTCGAAATTTATCCGGTGATCCAACGTCTCGGCATGTTCAGCGGCTGCACTGTGCTCTTTGTAGAGCTTCCGCACTTCGTTGGCGTGTTGCTTCAGTCGTACAAAGAAGGGCACTCGGCGCAAAGAATTTTGTAAACGACACCTGGGATCCTGTCCATTGTTGGCCGGTCTTTCGGGCGGGGGAGAAGGCGGCCCAGCGCACACGAAGGCACGTGCGCGATGCGAACCCCATCCTTCTTGAAGATCTGCGCCAACATCTCGCTGGTTCCCTGAACGTATGTGACCGGTGCGCATTTCGGAGGGCTACCAATTAAGGTTGATAGAGGTTTTCGTATCCTCTGTTGCTCTGCGTGGTGGGTGGCGGCTCGAATGAAGTTCCTTGGTTATCCGTTTTTTCTGAAATCTGCAATTACGTGGGCCTCTTCTTTCTTTCGCTCCGTGTTATTGGAGCGTGAGTTCTTAGCTCTCTGGAGTAGCGTCATCACAACCGAGGCCTTGTGGCAGGCGGAATTGAGAAAAATCATGTTGAAGGTAGCAGCCAGTGTGCGTTGGCTTCCTGTGAACGGAGAACTCCAGGCCATTGCACTTTCTTGCCACCTGGACGTCGAGAAAGGGTAGGCAGCGGTCGCTTTCACAGCTCCATCGTGAATTGTATGGCTGGGTGCACGGAATTTAGGTGCTGTCTGAAGTTTTCAACTTCAGATGTCTTCATTACGCAAAAGAAATCGTCCATATAACGGAGAAAAAGCTTGGGTCGCAACAAGAAAGAGCTGAGTGCCTTTCTTTTCTATCTACTCCATGATCAGGTTTGCCATCGTGACGGAGATGGAAGCTCCCATCGCGGTTCCACTGTTCTGCCTGAAAATAGTTCCTTTGTAGGAGAAGTACGTACTGGACAGGCAGAACTCTAGTAGACGGAAGAGCTTGTCAACCTCCAAAGGAGTCCATTCACTCAGGCATGCGCCCCCTCAAGCGCAGAACGGGCAGAGGAGACAGCTTAGGGCACTGGCACCTTGGTGAACAATGAAACAACATCAAATGAGATCAGGCTCTCGTCATTGCCGATGCTCACATTTGATGCTAGCTGCACGAAGTGGCTGGAGTCACGGACATGAGTTGTGTCTTCCGGGTTAGGAAGGCGAAGATTCGGTGTAGAAAATTCGAAAAGGCTCGGCATGGGGAGGAAGTGAAGCGTGCAATCGGTCTGAGGGGGACGTCAGGCTTGTCAATTTTCGGTAGTCCATAGAAACTCGGTGCGGATCTGTTACAGCAGATTAGTCGCAGCTAAGGTGTTCTAAGATCCGGAAAGGAACTATTTTCAGGCAGAGCAGTGGAACCGCGATGGGAGCTTCCATCTCCGTCATGATGGCAAACCTTACCATGGAGTACATAGAAGAGAAAGCACTCAACTCCTTTTCGCCTCGACCCAAGCTTTTTCTCCGGAGCCGGTCAGGTGACACCGAAACCCGTCGAGCAGAAGCATCAAAGGGAGCCCCAGATGTGCTCCAGGCGTCGATACCACACATACTTTATCCAGTCATGCGCTAACGATTCGTCTATCCACCCCTTGTCCTGGCAGCAGATAACAACATTTCTTGGGTACTTCTCCCCCTTAGGCAGCATCTTTCGCTTGAACACCACATAGGTTGGTAGCTTGTGACCATCTGCTGTGCATGAAAACATTCGTCACCTGGGTTTGCTCATTCCCAGTCGATCGCTCGATAACTTGCGTGGAGCCTTTCTGATGCACCGTCAGCGCCGAGGGCATAATCAAGTAGGCCAGCTTCCCCATTGCCGATCTGGCCCAGCTGAAAGGGGACAGCCTTTCGCAGCTTCTGCGAGATCGACGTATGCTGACGTAGGGAAAACCCAGTGCTGTGCATGAAGAGAGACACCCAATGCTTGCTCGCTTTGAAGTTCTCCGGCTGAATGCCTTTGGCTTGGCCGATGTCCCTTGCCTTCGCTTGTAGCAGCTCGATGTTAACAGCGAGATTAGCAGCCTGCTGCTCCCGCACAAATTCTGCAAGTTCTTTTTCCATGACAGGAAACGCTTCATTTTTTTGTTCAGAAACTTTTTCAGTGGCCACTGCAAGCAAAGACAGCGCCCTTCTGCTTCCACTGACCACGTATACTCCGCTCGTTGACTCTGAACTGCCGCTCTGTGGCACAGTTGCCAATGGTTTTGGCAGCAGCGATAACTTTCCTTTTAAAAGCAGCCAAGTACTGCCTGCGCGATGCTGACATGGCGAAAAATCACAGGAGCAAGATCATGGCCGTTTTTATGGGCGCCAAATTGAAGCAAAGGCCACTGACCATTGTTGCAGGCGTGGGTTTGTAAAACTAATGCCTGCTACCACCGCTAACAGTACCTACCACCTAGCGTAGGAGCACGCAAACACCTAATGATAATGATAGCACCGCGTTATGCCAAAACCAAAACCGAATTTATGGTAGTGGTACCAGGTAGTGGGCCTCTGGCTTGACGCGAGAACGAGGAAGAAGATCTTGCGGCTCAGCTGTTGAGAACACGCTGCTTTCGCTGCCTCAAGGCGTACTTGTGCTTTGTTCCCATTGTACTGCGACACTGGTGGAGGCGCTGGCCCGCGACCCCGCCTGATGCTCCACACTCCCACGGGGAGCCGTTCATCCAGCCCAGAAGCACTTGTCGACACTCTCGTGCAGCGCTTCAGTCGTCGCTTGCGAGGCCTCCTTCCAGAGTTCACCCTCTCACAGGAACACTCTACAAGGCACCGCTCACATCTACCAATGGCCACCGCCAGTCCACAACAGTTAATACGACGACAGTAGTTTGCCAACCCGTCTCAGGTAACCCTTTTTTCACCGCTGGTGCCTGATCGCTTTGGTGGTGGAGCACATGAAGACGTCGAAGAATGGCTTGATCACTATGAACGTGTCGCTAACACCAACCAGTGGTCCCTTGAACAAAGGCTTTCCCGCGCCTATTTTTATCTCGACGACAGCGCTTAGAACTAGGTACGAGAACAGAGAAGGCAGTTTGTCAACATGGAGTGACTTTAAAAGAGGGATGATTGACACATTTGCTGATGTAGACTGGCGCGAACGTGCGCAGCATTTACTCGAGCTTACGGGTTCAGAAACCCAATGAAACGGTCGCAATGTTCGCTGAGGACATGGCCCGTCTCTTCCGTAAAGCTGACCCGCACATGACCGACGACAAAAAGTTGCGCTACCTCATGCGCGGCGTTAAAGAGCAATTGTTCGCCGGACTTTTGCGGAACCCGTC